TAATGGTTGGTATAAACTTTGCATGGTGACACTGGATAACGCCGCACAAAATGTGCTTTCTTACTTTTTCTACGTTTAACTTCTCCACCGTCAGTCTCCGGTGACTGAATAATTAACTTAAATTTAGTACAGGAATTAAAGTTAGGTATGAACTAGACACATTTTGAGGCGCCCGTATAGTGAAGCCTGAAGTACCCGATATACCACAACTTAGAATATACTAAAAAAGGATTCATTCGTTTGCCATCAATAACCACTAAATTCATTTCTGACATTTAGTCTAACAAAAAAACTGCGAATTTTTCTCTATTTTACATTTTTGTAAGTCTGGATGGAAATGTAGTTGTCTGTTGATCGAGCGTTAGCAGGATAAGGAATATTTAACGTTATTAAAATATAAACTCCCCAGATGGTGCGGAATTCCGTGGCGCAATTTATAAAAAAAAAGAAAACGTTTAGTAGCAGTTAACTTTGTAATTTCCTTGCTTATATCTAGAAGAATAACCCTTGATAGTTTACAGGTATACGAATAACATCTTTTACTTATGTTCTTGTCAGCTTCTTAGGCATTAATTTTTCTTGTCGTTTTTCTATAGTTGTTTTTTGTCTAGCGGCTAATTTTATTCATTAAAAACCTATCTAACGAAGCGACGAGTGTCTCTCGTAAATGATAAAACGTAAGCTTCTTTGTTAGTGTGCATACTGTCATCGCATAATGAAATTGCATTTAGAGTAGAAGGCAAATCAAGTTAAGAGATAATGAGCAAGATTTCTTTGCTAACCTTCATTTGTATCTGATGGGTATTGCATCAAATGTGATCCTAGGCTATAAGTTACTGTTATGTACATATATGCCCACAATGTATTAAAACGTTGATGGTTTTTGTCATTTGAACGTCATTTGTCCATCATATGGGTAGGTAGCCTTTTTATAGTAATCTATAACTTCAGTAATGAAATAGATGACTTAGCCACATGCCAATTTTCAACATGTGCAACTGAAAATAAAGAACAAACCGCTGTAATGCACCAAGCACACATGTCGCTATACAAAATATTAAAAAAAAAAAAGTAGTACAGTCCTACTAATTGAAACAGATTTAGAATAATGATTTGAATCAATTTTAGGTTCGTCAAACAAGAGTTTTTCGGCACAAAGTTGTCAAAAGGGTGCACAATTATGCGCCGCTTTTCGTATTTTTAAACGTAAGAGATACGGCTGTATTTTCCGTTCCAAGTATAGCCCTAAGTCATGCCATAGTTTCAGGCACAAATTTTGATAAACGGTACACATTTGAATAAAATGGTGTTAGCGACTAGAGTTGAACAATGTTTCACAGTGCTGCAGAGTTAAGCCTTTGACGGTATATTTATGTGTTTTTCCGCACTTCGTATCTTTTAGCAGTCGTATTTAATGATGCTATTTCCTTAAGCACTTAATATATTTTTAAGAAGTTTATGTAAGGACGTCGAAAAATTGGGTAGAAATCATATTATCCAATCAAATAAATTTAGGCGTTTACTTTCTCTTGATTTTTTATCTCTTATATATATGCTTCTTAGTTCTCGGAAAACTGCATTCTTGCTGTATATAATGAGCTTTGTATCCGAATCTCTGAATTCTCAGATTAGCGATATGAACGGCAGAAGTGCTGCCAAATATTTTATATCATTTGCTAGATTTGAGATTATCCGAAACTTTTTCGTACGTATCTAAAATTTGTAGAAATTATAAGCACAATTTAAGTTAGAGAAAACCATCACGATGTGCAGACTCAGGTGCTCTGAATGAAAACACACCTTACACCGTTAAAGCTACTGACTAGCATTTGTTAAATGGGTTTTAAATTAGTGCACGCCGCGTTATCTCGGAGTCTGAAATTGCGTGTCCATACGCATACATCCAAGTAATAAAAATGTTGAACATTTTTAAACCACGTTTTCGAAAAGCATCAATTTCGTCAGGGTCGATTAATCATTAACAACGTTGAAAATTTTATTAAGTATTTTCGTAACTAAAAGTCCTCTTATATATGGCACATCTTCTAAAAGAACCCATGTTATTAACTGTTAACTGCCTAGTAGTTTATACTCTCGCAATGTTTACACTGAGAACATACCCCGTATTATCGATTCTAAGCTACAAAGCGATGCGAAAGGAGTCACGATGGTGTCCCTAAAAATTATGTACGTAAGGTGATATCGCATTTATAAGCCTAAGACTATGAAATCTGGTTTTAACAGACGTGTTGCTGTCAACAATAACAGATCTGATCAGAGATTCCAGGAGAATCGTCGAAGTTTCTCCCTAGCAACGGTCTCTTTCTCACGGCTGGCATGAACTTGCAGGGCAGTAGCGTGCTTGCAAGGATGTACGTCAACCCCAACTAGGATTCCGCGCCACTCATGCGCATCCTCCCCGACAGCCAAAGGCTCTAAGGGCGTCTTCCCAACATTAAAATCTCGCAATACGGGAATTAATTCATGGCCGCCTGGACGGCGGTCTAAACGCCAGATGAACGCTTGAGCCGCATGCGAAAAACGTGATGGGCCACAAGTGGAGCCAACAATAAACAAACGGCCGCGATCTTCGTGCAATTCGAGTCGGAACGCCTTAGCATGATCAATAGGTAGAATTCCTTCGAGATGTATCACTTCATCGAGAAACACACCTTTACAAAGGTCGAGAACGCGAAGCTCGCGCCGGCTACGCTCTCCGTAATACCGTTTTTTGTCCGACTGAGGCCGAACACGATCAATCATAACCGTGTCAACGGCCAGGTAAACATAGCATAAATCACCGACAACGGCCATATCGTGAAAGCCATTGTTATCTAGCTCGCACTCGTTTTTGGCTAGTTTATCTTTACGCAGACGGAAAATTCGTCCTTTCTGCG